AACGTTAATAACACTTAACACTGTATAATATTTTATTAGACTATAATATTTGATTGGGCAAACATGTTGACAGCTTTGCTAATAGAAAACAGCAATACATATACTGATTATTTGATTAGAATTATTTTGTCATTATTACTACCTGAACTTATTAAAACTGACATCCAAACAGCAGATTGGATTATTGTTCTATAAGAAACAGATTGCCAAAAAAAAAAAAAAATGGGGTTGGAAGTAATAGTATTGGTCAATCTTCGAGTATTGGCTGTTGGCTTACTGGGTGCAAATCTTTAGAAAAATAGATATTTAATTATGCGGTGAAAAATATTGAAAATTGTCGTGGATAAATATTTACAAACGCGTCTATTATATAACTCACAAATTATATAATGTATATAATAGAGAACTAGTACACATTATGATTATATAAATATACTTATATATACAAATATATATTATAAAATATACATACATATATAAACACACATTCATACTATTAATAATATATTGATAATTAAATAACTATGATAAACAAACGTGATGATAATAATGACTGCAAAATATTTAATTAAACAATTTTTAATGTTTACTGTTGGACATCATGTTTTATGCTTGGGTCATTAAGTTCTCTAGGAAAAGAGTATACGAGATAGATAGCCTGTTACTTTCATTTTTCTCATTATTACTTTCATCAGAAGAACTATCAGATTATTTGTCTTTTTTACGCAACTTAGAATAGCAAAGAAGCTGACGTACCACCTGATAGAAAGTGGTCGTTGCCTATAGACATGAGCAGTACCATGGGCATAACAGAGTATACTTTTTGGCCCATGATACTCCCCATACGTTGCCATTCCTGAGGACTCAGGTATTATTTCACTGTACCCTGTAAATTCACTGCCCTATTCCACCTTTCAAACCAAAACACAGCTGTGCAAACATAACTGCGTCACGGTAGAAACACGAATGGTACAGAAGTGTCCAAGCAAACGACTTTTGTACAAAGTCTCCTTCTGTTTAGGAATGTTAACAAAATAAACACGACACGACTACTGTCGATATAAGACAATAATAAAAATCTACTTTTTTATTTAAAAGATTAAATTAAATTACTTTTATTGACTTTAATAACTGAATTAAGATAAAATAAATACAAATTACTTATGTATTGTTTTGTATCATCTTCTATATGTGAAATAAGCCGCTATTCTTCATGCGTTCTATGAAAGCCTTATCATGTCACCTCCCATGTCGACCCATGTCAAATTCTGATAGATTGGAATTCATTTAGATATCCGATTAAGCTATCGCACAAGTAGCTATAGTTAAATTTTATATGCGATGGAATTTAAAAGACTCATTATAAGAATGTGAAGGTTATAACCTCATCATCATATCAGCCTTTAACTGTCCACTGCAGAAAATAAACCTCCCCTTGGGGGGTTTTGCCAATAATTGCCATGCTTGGCAGACGGATTGGCAACTGCAGTAAGGCTTCAGATATGTTTTAAGAAGTACGCTGTTGCCCATCCCTTGCCCACCTTTAGTCGCCTCCTATGACACCCACGGGAAAGGAAGGCGTTGCCAATTCTATGCCGGGACCACACGGTCGTATAACCTCATATTTGAACTTAAGAAACTCTGATTAATATATGGTTGGTGTGAAATTTTTAACAACTTTCTTTTATCCAAACTTTTTCTTTGTGATATTTACAGGATTTCGTTCTAACATAAAAGATTTATTTTGTTGCACGGAATGAAAAAAATGTGTGTCATTTATCGAAGTTATTTTACTTAGGTTATCCTCATAAATAAAACGAGGTTACATCTTTTATGTATTTTAGGATTTTAACAAAATATGACATATCAATCATGAAATCATTGATGTTCCAAATGATATATTGATTTTTATATTCATTGTAGGTACATTTAAGCCGACAACAATTTATCAAATATGAATAAAGGATACCTACTATGACATGGAAATTCTTTTAACAAGAAAAAGGATCAAGTTAGCTTTACCTGACACATTCAGTTTCAGACCCCCTAATGCGATAACACAAAGGCCCACCCCGTATACAATGGAGATTTTTTTCCAATATGACATGTAACAAAACGTTACTTAAAATTTTATATCGTTAGGAGAATAATCTATTTCTTGTACTTAGCAATATCTTATATATAAAATTCTCGTGTCACGGTGTTTGTTACCAAACTCCTCCGAAACGGCTTCACCGATTTTCATGAAATTTTGTGTGCATATTGGGTAGGTCTGAGAATCGGCCAACATCTATTTTTTATACCCCTCAATGATAAGGGTGACCCACCCCTAAATATATTTTTTTTATTTTTTTGACATTTTTTTTATTTTTATCTTATTATAACTAAGCATTGAAAAATACATACAGCTTCAAATTTTTACCCTTTTACGATCAACCCCTGTTTTTAATAGCGATTTTTATATTTCTTAATAAGTGGTAAAACAACGTTTACGGGGTCAGCTAGTAAATATATAAAATTCTGATTAAAGACATTTATAAGATATTTTTTAATATTAAAGTAGCTAATCTTAACTAATATTATAAATGTGAAAATCAGTTTGTTTTTTACCTCTTGTCGCGTACAATAAGAAACGAATGATAGCAACACCGGATGTGCCCCAGGATTGGTCCGTCTACGTTACGAAAAGGGAACAAAACTTTGCTGTATGTGTCAACGGACTATTTTAAAAAAAAATCAAGTGGATCAACGCAACGGCTCTTATGTAAATTTATAGTTTTATAAGTATTCGCAAATAAAATCAAATAATTCAAGCTTGTTTATATGAAATTGACCTTCTAACTATCTGTTGAAAACATCAGCACGTACCACCTCTTGTCGTCTTAACCGTCGCTATGTAATGTGTTATATATGAAATGGAGATCGACATAGGCTACTTTTAATTTACTGTATACTACAAAGTTGCTGGTAAAAGCATCAATATATGTTGTTGTATGAGCTGTTAACTGTCCACTGTTGAACATAGTCCCCCCCATCGACCATAAGGGAGGATTTTGCCAGTAATTTCCACGCTTGGCAGGCGGGTTGGTAAACGCAGGTTAGCTTTTGGAGATGTTTTAAGAGGGACACTGCTGCCCGTCCCTCCATCGTAAGCTCCCTGAGTCGCCTCTTACGACACCTACGGAAAAGGAAGGGATGGCCTATTTTATAGCAGTACCTAAACGATTACATACAATTAATCAATCAATTGATATCAATCATTCATTATGATGATGCTGATGATGAACGATGATAATTAAAAAGTAAAAGTACTCTACTTGATACTTCATAAGTTGACAAAAACAAATAAAATTAATAACGCAAACACATCATATGAGAAATGACATCTCAACCCTGTCACCAAAGGGTCCCTTCGTGTTCAAGTTTGATTAATTATATTCGCGGACCCTCTTAAAGTCACATGTCATATCGGATAGCAAAAACTTGATAGTGGAGCCACGTACTAACTTTAACGTTACATTTGTTAGTTTCGAATGAGTATTAAATTACATTTTGCTTGAAATAAAAAAAAAAACATCATAAGATAGTTTTTGCAAACTTTTGTTGATATTAAAAAGAGAAAACATTTGATTTTGATTAATTGACATTTTATTATTGACTTAAAAACTACTGAGTAAATTTAAAGAGTTCTTACACTTATAAAAATCTGCATTATCAGCGAATGATTTAGGTTATACATTATTTAAAAAAAAAACTTAGAGATCTTTACGAAAATTACAATAATATGGTACTACATGGTATGGTATTACATGGTATCAAACATTTGCTTATTAAAACCCAATATATGCGTACTAAAAGCTGTGTGGTTCCGGCATATGCCACCCCTTCCTTTCCCGTGGGTGTCGTAAGGAGCGACTAAGAGAGAGCGAGCAGCGTTCCTCTTAAAACATCTCTAAAGGCTGCGGTTGCCAATTAACCTGCCAAGCGTGGCAACTACTGGCAAAATCCCCTAAGTGGGAGGCTTATATTCAACGTTGGACAGTTAAAGGCTGATATGATAATGATGATGAAAGTACTAATTTATGCTTCTATCTATTTATGTAAAGCCGGGACATTGCTGGTATATTATATTTAGGAAGATTTCCATCAATCTCATTATAACCAACGACACTTCAGGACCGTACAACTTCGCTTGTGTTTTTCTCTCGAAGTTTATCCTTTGTCGAAAAGAGATTTACGGATAAATAACTTTGGGAATGCAATTAATAAAATTTAAAACTCCTCGCCTCTCTCTTTAATAATTAGGATTTGGTAGGGTTTACTGAGTTTTTACTGTTGTTATAGGTTACAGATCGCTTAGAATAAAAGGCAATAATTCGAGCTGAAACGTAAATCTTGATCTAATGGGTTCATATATCTTTCCTATGATAGTCCATCATGTTGCAACAATGAAGCACTTTTTATAAATTCTCGTCTGATCATATATCAACAGTATTGAGAGAGTCATTACATACTTGTGACGGTTGTTAAGTTAATCTATATTTTTTAACTTAGCCAGAATTGAAGCATTTTCGTAATATTTCCGACAGTTTTTAGTATTTAACCTACTACATAAAAAGGAAACAAAATCTGTATTCGGTTGTATTTTCTCTTATATGTTTTACCTCAGAATATCATTTATAAACCGATTTAAAAATTCTCTTTTTATCTGAAAGGATTAGATTTCGGATAAAAAGAGAACTTTCAGATTAATCCATTGCAATTTATTCAAAATCGATTTAGTTGTTCAGTTTTTAAATGAAATAACTTTTGAAGGTATCGTATTTGTATTGGGGTTACTTCAGAGTCGACAATGTACACGTGACATCTCTAGTGTTGTTGGCGTCTATAGACTACAGTGACTGTCTACCTTCAACCATGCTCTATGCTTATTTGTTACTATCAGAGTATAATCAGTTATACTCACTGCATAATGTAATATATGTAATTTTAATTCACAGGCGTCCGAAAACTCAGCGCCGTGTTAGCAACTGGAGCACGTTCTGGCACCTGGCGGATTGAAGCCCGTTGCGGGGGAGGGTCTGCTCGTGTGGATATCACGGTCGGAACCAAAGCTGGTAACCTAGCATCAGCAGCCCCAGCAGCAGAACAGCATTATGTGGAGCTGCGATTTGCTGACAGCATGAGACGACGATACAAGCCTGGACTACCCTTTGTGGGACGTGTAAGTAATCGTTTATTTTCCAATAGGTATTTTCCGCAATTTTGTTTATGTTTATTAGTGCATAAAGTATTCTATGTATTGTATTAGAATACTACCTACTTATGTACCAAATTTCATTAAAATCTTTTTGGCCGTTTGAGCGTGATTAAGTAACTAACTTATATATAATATTAGTTGAATTATTATTTTGATATATATTCATTATATGATTATTTATTTTACGCTAAAAATATTAAGATCCAGAAATACATAGGTACGAATATCTGGATCTGTAGTGCAACGTGTAATTTAATTAGGATATATTTAAATAAATTGTAAATGAGTATTACTCAAACTGAGAATTGATTTAATTGTAAGAGTGGCTACATGTCGACAATAAATGGATTTTACTTTAACATTAGAATTATAATGTCTCCTTACTTTTTGCTAGGTATAAAATAGCTGTAAATAGCTCACATTACATTGAATTCCATGTAAGAATCGTCGGACCGTTTTTTTAAGACTTAAGTTTTCCTACTGAGAGAGCTCTACAACCAGCGATCCGGCCAACTGAAAGGAAATAAAAACAGATACATTCAAACGCAAAATCACTGAAATTTTAAACTGTTTCTCAACTACGGGCGTTTTATTTTATTCGTGTTCTTTGAAAGTTGGACACAGAAAATAGTCGAGACTTTAGACTTACTTTTTTAACGTTCGAGTTTTGTTTAGCGACCTACATTAGATATTGTTTTGTTTTTAACAGACTTTAAAATCCAATGTTTGCTATAAATTTCAATATAATTTTTGGTTTTTATTTGTATCTGTTAAATATTTGCCAACAGACTATCGTTCTATTTTAATGATACTCTATTCAAGACAAGATTTCTGCAATATTTTTTCCAAATGTGATTATTTTTTAAACGAATAGATTTATTGCTATGCATTCTTTGGAGTATTGTATTGTAGTATGGGATAAATAGTGTCAAGATTGAAATAAAATGAAATATATTTGCTGTAAATGTCGTATATAATAAGATGGAATTAATGGCAAAAAGTAGCTTGCAATAAGTAGTTTGGCATGTAACATTTTTATACGTAATTCATAATATTATATTTATCTAGTATTTATTTGTCAATTAACATTTCATATTAACATTTTACTCATTGTAATAGGTGCATTATAATATTAAAATCAATTTTCTTTTTGCTGAACAAAATATTTAATATTTTTTTTGTGAGTAAATCTTAATAAAGTGGTTACTTTCGGATGGTCTTTGAGATTATGAATGATATCGCGATAAGAACTTTATTACAAGATCCAAATTAATTTTATCAAGTTTGAAGTCCGTTTGAATTTCCTACTAAATCCGAAAGTTAGTCGAAAACTCTCAGGTAACCGTTAACAAACCAAATTAACACAAAAGCTGTGTATAAAGTGGAAGGAGGAGGAGATGAGTGAAATCCCAATTATGTTCTAGTACTCCCATATTTATTAGGAATTATCTGAATATATAGTTATATAATCATTATCATCATATCAGCTGTTGACTATCCACTGCTGAACATAGGCTTCCTCTTTTTGAAGGGGTTCTGCCAGTAGTCGCCACGCTTGGCAAGTGGGTTGGCAACCACAGTTATTGGCGATGTTATAAGAGGGATGCTGCTACCCATCACTTGGCCATTCAGTTCCCGTAATCGCCTCTTACGACACACACAGAAAAGAAAAGATGGCTCATTCTATGCTTAGACTACACCCAGACTATGCGACGGAATATATACTATTCTAAACTAATATACTATCCTAATATATAAAATACATGTCTCTTAACGATATCTCCATACTGCAGTATTGTCTATGTTCATGTTACATTCAAATATACCTGGCTAATTGTGAGCATGTATGTATGAAATAATCTGTAAATACCTAACAACTTTGTAAAAAAATTAAATTGAGCATATTTATTGGTTTTTAAAAATATTTAGCGTTATTTTATTATATTAGTAAAATTCGTGATTTATCAGTTTACTGCCATCTAAGATTATGCTTTCCAAACTGTCATAGTTTCGTCTGACAATGTGTCTAAAGAACTTAAAACTCTCTCTCTCTATATATAAACACTGTACACAGAGACTACCACGTGTGCATTTGAATCAATTTACTTAGACTTTTTTTAAATACAAACTTTTTAAAAATAGATGATATTAAAATAAAAGACTTTTGCTGTAAATCACTATTACGTACTTATTCTTGTTTTCAAATTTCACAGATTTTTGCCAAATACATTTTTCCTTTTGTACGCATTGAAAATCAATTGTTAAGTACCGAAGAGATGGCCGCACGCAAAACAACTGTAGCTAGAATGAGATAAAAAATAGCAATCTTAAGTGTATTTCACATCATCCCTTCCTATTCTTGGCAACGGCACAACGTAATAAATTACAGAGGCATTCTAACGAAGATCTTTTATATCGATGTGATTCTCTCTCCTTTATGTCCGTTGTATAGGCTCTCTATTTTGAATTAGTATTGTTCGTATGTTCTATGAGAACATGATTTATTATGGTTACTTATTTTACTAATTCAGAATTTTATATGTATATGGCAAAATATTGTTTTCTAAAATTATTATGATACAAAAACTTTAATCCAATTACAAAGTTGATAGTAACAATATTCGAGTACATATATATTAAATATATCCTTTTTTATGCAACTTAGAATGGCAAAAAAGCTGATGGCCCACCTGATGGAAAGTGGTAACCGTCGCCTATAGACATGAGCACTACCATGCACATAACAGAGTATACTGTTTCGCCCATGATACCCCCCATGCGTTGCCATTCCTGAGGACTCAGATGTTATTCCTCTGTAACTTATAAATTCACTGCCATATTCCACCCTTCAAACCGAAACACAACCATGCAAACATAACTGCATCACGATAGAAACACAAATGGGACAGAGGTGTCCAAGCAAACAACTTTTGTACAAAATCTTCCTCTGGTAAACAGGTTCGCTTCAGATCTTTAATCTTTAAACCACATTTACATCATGAAACGATTGGTACGAATCTAGTTTCATGACACTAATTTACATTTCGTTATACAACCATTAGTTTCACAAAACTCAAATAGTACGAAACTCACGGAACTGCGCGTGATTGCTTTTTTTTTAATAAAATCTCGTTGTTTGCTCTGTTGTTCAATTTAGTGCTACTATACACGAGTATATTCTAAAAATTTTAGCGGAGTTCATGTATATAAATAAAATCACTTCAGCATGACTGAAGCAGATTGATTATTTTGTTTTATTTTAGTTCTAATAATACTTTCTATTAACATTTTAAGGGATAATTAAATTAAATCTTAACAGAAACAACGTCCGTAAAGTTAACCAGAATAAAACTTGTGACCTCAATATTGTGAGTTAGATGACGCTGTGTTTCAAAGTAGATATGTTTACGAATAAAACAACTGGCAACAAATGAATACTTTGATTCATATCTAACAGTAATTTACTTTATATGCAAAGTTTAAGCACCGAATCCGGAGTCGTGAAGTTAGACTTATCCGCCCCATGATAAGCGTAGCTTTTAAGGAAATACATCTGCCTATCTTTATGGGAACAATTTGGCTCCTTAGTGGTTGCGGAGGTTAAGGGTGTTTCGTTTTAAGTAGAGCATTTTATTTTTGTCGTCGACCTTCAAGAGGACTTGATTCCCTAATAGACGATACTCTCAAGTGAATTACATATATAAAATATAACATTAAATTTTGGAAGAACAAATTACCTTTAAGGTAAAAGTAATTGATCACCTGTTTGTAGAATCGGTTGGGTATTATTATATTAAGATCGAATATTAAAATATACAATGATGTTATGATATTTTTAGGTTACTTAATCACTCTTAAATGTCTGAATATATATATATATATATATATATATATATATATATATATATATATATATATATATATAAATATAGACCCTTTATAATATATGCCTTAATTTTTAATGCCAGTTAAAATTTCTTAACCAGGTTGAAGCGATGAGCACCGAAAAGCGAGTTCGTGTCCGTGTCAAGCTGTATGACGACAAAACTGACATCTACAGTCAAGATATCGATATGTCTACTGGGGAAGGTGGTTTCATTGTACCAACTGTAATGGCCGATGCGCCTTATGTCAACTTACAGGTAAGTGATTCAATAATTAGATTTTACTATACAAGAGCAAAAAAATATATAGGAAAATCTTTCGTAAAATAAGTATAGGACAACCCTGCCAAGGTTTTCCCAAGAGACTACAGCATAGGGTTCTTCGGAAGGGGGGTAAAGAGGTTTCTTCAGGGTCGGCAACGCGCACGTCATATCTTTGGTATTGCAGGTGTTCATAGGCTACGGTAACCGCTTACCATCAGGTGGGCCGTATGCTTGTTTACCACCTCAGTGGTATAAAAAAAAACTATGGAAGTATAGAATAAAAAAATAATAATCATCTCAAAATACGAAAAATAAACACAATTCCATTGTGAACTACTTTTTTGGGAGTCTCTTGCCACTAGTAACTAATTTATCATCGCCATATAAAAATCATGGAATCATGTTCATCATCTTTATACTGTGATATTAGTAAGGATCATCATCATCATCATCGTCATATCAGCCGTTAACTGGGCACAGATTAACATGCCTATGTTATGCCTATGCCTTCCTCATAAGGAAGTTTTGCCAGTATTTGCCACGATTGACAGGCGGTTTGGCAACCGCAGTTAGAATTTTAATGATCTTTTAAGAGGGATACCCATCCCTTGATCATTAAATTCCCTTATGACACCCATGAGAAAGAAAGAGATGACCCATTCTATGCTGGGACCACACGACACTAACTAATTTAATTCTTTCTTATATTATTGACTATCCTTTCGCCCACTATTTATTTTATACGCATGGATTTCAGTAATAGGAAAACTAATGAATTAGGCTATTCCTAGATAGGATATTAAGATAAAACAAATACCAAATTTTACGTTAGACCTTCAAGAACACTACTATAAAAATTTCAGTTTTTTTTCTATCATATTAGTTGTTAACTGTCCTCTACTGAATATAGACATGCATCTAGCTTGGTGTAGTAGTTATTGCGGGATACTGGAACAAACTTACAGTTAGATACAATTTCTGAAAACTATTGTTTTGGCTTCTATTGCTTTTCTTAAGATCTCTTATATATATTTTTCTTAGATATCTCCCAAGAACAGAGGGCCTACCATGAAATGTTTTCCGAAATTTCGGAGCCAAACGAAACAGAAATTTGATGTTATAATTACATAATACATGCCGTTTGGAAATATTAAAAATGTTGAAATATTATTCCTTTGGATTTTTATGATAGGATGTATGACGAACGAAATGTTAAACTCCATTCATTGGTCCGATTTTGGTATAAACAAAAACACGAAATTGAGTCTGAAATTTCGGAATTTCATTTCATGGTGGACCCGCTGATATTGTTATCGTTACAATTTTATTACATCAATAAAATATGAAAGTGAACTTATTTGTTACTTTAAAAACTATTCGCATACTATTTGGGTCAGACAAAAATATAGTCTACTTTCACACAGACAAAGTTGTGTGTAAAAACCAGTAATGTACATAATTTGTAACCAAATCTTGTTCGGTTGTTCTTATCACTGCTGTCAATAACAATTTTATACCACTTGACGTCTCGTCTGGGACTCATTACGTCCTTTATAATATATTAACATACACTAAATTATTTATGTTCATATTATTATACCTTGATAAAATTCAGAGATAGCGGTATGTAATCAATACGTACTTATACTATTTAAAGTACTCGTAGTTATACTTAGTTCCCCTAATTCACATGACCAGTAGATAATATAAATATTGAAGAAACAGAAACTATGTTTATAAGTTAAAGATTCTTTTTTAAATAAATAAATATACTAAAATATTCTATAAAGTGTCTATCTTAATCTAGTGGTTTTAGATACCTATGTATATATGTGTGAGTTAAAAATGAACAAATTTTAAAAAAAGATTGTTTTAAATATTTTATCGATTACAGTTTTCGACCATTTTAATCGTAAAAAAATATCTGACAATGGCATTTTCATGCAGATAACACATCTTGTTTGTAATGTAAAAATAATTACTTTGATGCTGCTTAAGAAATATAAGAGATATGCTATTAAAACACTTTTTCCATTATAACTTCCTTGCTACTTTCAATTACTGTACACGGCTAACCAATTAGTCAAAGCCAACATGTGGTGGCCAAAGCTCTCTCTAACCGACTGAGAAACTGTGCTCGTAAATAACTCTTATCGCAATCTTAATCACCGGCTATACGGTTCAAAATCCTTTATCACATATCACAGATCCGAGTAGAAATTGGTCGTTCGCGCCTCAAACCTAATTTAGTTTAATCGCGTCATTAATTGGGCCTCTAGAAACTTGCGAAACTCCAATACCTCTGAGATAGAATTCGGTGCTCAAACATAGAATACAAATGGGCAGATTTTGGATTTGTTCATTTGAACTCACCATTCCGTTAATATCTTACGTGGACTTTCGAATGATAGCAATTTACTTGCAAATATGCATAAATCTTCAAATTGGAATTAGATTTGATTTCAAGATAATTTACGAATTTACTATTTGGTTTTCTTTTTTTAAGCAACATAGAAAAGCAAACAAGCTGACGGCCCACTTGATGGCAAATGGTAATCATCGCCTGTAGACATGAACAATACCATGGATATTTCCATGATAATTTTCATGCGTTTTCATTCTTGAGGACTATGACGTTAAACTTGTTATTTCATTGTCATATCTTACACTATCATGCCGAAACACGGCCATGCAAACACAACTGCTTCACAGCAGAAACAGGGGCATCAAGCAGATAACATTTTGTAAAAATCTTTATCCAGTAAAGTTATTTTCTTGCAGTTTTTCATAATAACATTTTGATTATTTTTCCGTAATATTTTAAACCTTTAGATATCGTCTTCTTAGATGCAAAATGCAAATATAAAAATTATAAAAGCTTAAAAAGCTCTAATTAAGTAATAAAATGGAATTTTTAGTTTCTGCTCTAATAAATTTTCTATGTATATATTTTTTCTCATATTTTAAAATAACAACATTTATACTACTATCACAGTCTTATATTTATTGTGTGATATAACTTGTCTTTTGTTATGGAGCATTATCAAAAGGTTTTTTTCATTTACATAAAATTACATATAAATTATAAATAAGGATATTATCGATCAAAATTTATACATATATACTTGTAAATAACACATTAGTTTTTTGTTCTTACCGTTCAGTATTTGCCAAGACATTTTCAATTTTAAAACTCATCCCGCGTTAGTAGGGAAGCAATTACAGTGGCTCGTGGTTACGACGCCTCATCATGCAAATACGTCAAGCCAGTTTGAGGGAATTGGCACTTGGTTTAAGTGCTTTCAGACCCTAATAACTATCTTATAAATTATGTGAGCAAATGTGAGGTGCGCAATAAACGGGGTATAAAATAGGACAATATTTCTACAAAATTTTACTACGTTTTATATCTAAAATAAAAGATCGCAAATGGAGATTCAAAATTTTAAATTAGAGATTTTAAATTATACATATGAAAGTTTATAAATACGTTTTGATGTTTTAATAAATATTATTATTAAAATTAAAATGTGTTTAATACATTATGTGAGTTATCTTAATCACGCTCAGATATTTGAATAGATTTTAATATAATTTAGAACTCACATTCGGCGTTAACAAACGAGAACTACTTTTTTATTTTACCCATACAACAACCATAAGATAGGTAATTTGATATGAATACTCTGCCAACCCTATAAGTAACTCACTCATGGTGGAGATATAAGTTAACAGATAATATAAGACTACAAAAATAATAGCATTTACGTACACATTTGAATATAATGAGTAATCATGTGTCTAGTTTGTAATCAAGCAACTAATACCTTCAGTGCTCGTCCCTAATTAGTTTGGCTATTCCCAGCCCAAAATGTGGTAAAGTTTAGTTGGAACTTGATTAGGTATGAATTTTCGATGGTCCTACGTGATTGATATAGAGCAATAATTAATTGTTAGCAAAGAAACTGAATATTTTTATTAAAGAAACATGGGTCGATAACTGATAAAAATGTACCATGTTTTTTTTAGACCAGAAAGATAGCCAATAAGCTTACAGCTCGTTTGATGGTAAACAATTGCTGTAACCTATGGACTGTAGTCTTTAGGGATTTTCCTTAGAGACTATAGTATATATTGTGTGGAAATCTTGCAAGGTAACCTATCTTATTTTGTTAGTATAAGACTCGATTTTTTTTTGTCGTTTTTGGTTATTGATTCATAACATTTGTCTTAATAATCTTTTACAGCATGGGCAGATTTTTAGTTTTATATTTCGCTTACGATTTTTATTTCACCCAGTACAATTCGACCAATAACGAACTTTAACAATTCCTCCAGAAAGGATCATGCCATTGCTTGTACATTCGTACTAGTCTCGTTTTGTATTAAAACTTTACATTATATTTTGGGTAAGTATTAAATCAACTTCGGAGCAATCATTACCCTTATTTCGTTCCAGCGCTCCTTTTATATATTTCCACAATGATTCCCATTATTCATATCTCAACATTTCTTTTGTGGGTGTTTTCGTTAAAAAATCTTTTTGTTCTTTTTTTTATCGGCAGCCATTTTTTCAGTGAGATTTTCCGCTTGGGGCTTAATTCGGCCAGATAAATTATGCCAAGATAGAGACAAATAATCCGCCACTCCATTAAATCTGTAAAAAGCGAACGCTTTTAAGAAATTAGCCAACTAATCTTAGCTCTAGCTAAAGAGGATTATCAAGGAAAAAATTTACGTGACCCGTCTCTATTTTCTTTATAATTAGTCCAAATAATAAATAATTCCTAATAATCTACGATAGACGGAAAAATAATTAAACATGCTTTAAAAAATATGATTTCAATATTTTACTATTTGTTTCCTTAGTGATGCTTAGCGATAAGGCCATCTTTTGTATAATTTCTCAATAAAATTTACTGCATTTATTACTTTTTATTGGTGCAAATAAATAAAATGTTAAGTGTAAATAAATAAATAAAGAAACATGTTTC